CAGTGAGTGGACACAGTGTTTAAAAACTCCAGCAGCACTGCTGTGTCTGATCCACTCAGACCAGCACAACACACACTAACACACCACCACCACGTCAGTGTTACTGCAGTGCTATATATAAATTATCTGTCTATTCAGTCTATAGCACAAGCTCCGCCCATTTACTCAGCCTGGACTACTTTTTGAATGAGGCAGAGCCAATCAGAACAAAGTTCATTTACATACGCTCTTAAAAATGGTTCTTCAGGGGTTCTTTATTAAAGAAAATGGTTCTATATAGAACCATAAGCACCCAAAAAACATCTGCATGCTTAAATGGTTCTTTGCATGGTGACAAGGTTCTTCAGCTTGATGGAGAATGTGCTGTAAAAGATTCTATACAGAGAAAGGGTTCTTCTGTTGTATACACACTTGACATCGTAACAATAAAAGAACAATAGAAGAACCCTTTTTGGAGCTGTATAGAACCATATACAACATATTCTCCATCAATCTGAAGAACAATTTCACCATGCAGAGAACCATTTAAGCATGCAAATGGTTCTTTGAGCATTCATGGTTCTATACAGAACTATTTTCTTTATGACAGAACCTTTGAAGAACCTTTTTTAAGCATGTATATCAGTCTTATCAATCAACCAATCAGAACAAAGCTAATTTATATATATTAGTCTTAAAGGCGGAGTCTGTTTAATTCTAACTGTGAAAATAAGCATGAAAAATTTAATTATGGCTGTTTTTGGCACATCAAACTGTCAAAACCACGTCAGGAAAATAAAAATAAAATGGCAGCAAAAATGCAGCTTATCAGCCCTTTAATATATGTAAATACACAAGTCAATCAGCTCGATATTCAGAAAGCCTGAAGGTCTCTGAACCTCAGCACGTCTCAGTAGACGAGAAATGATTGACAGACATTGATTGAAATCGACGCTGCTGCGCTGAGCTCATGTTAAATGACAAATGCCAAAATCTAACAGCTGAATAATAAATCAAACGATGAATATTTGATCAGATCAGCGCAGCTTCATCAGCCGCTCTCTGCATTCACCTCCTCATTTGTCAGTTTTCATTAACTGGAGTCCTTAAGGCTGTTAAATCAGCATCTTAATCACTTCAAGTTGCGCTTCGTCTTTTTTTTGTTTCAGAAATATGTTTCCTTTCTACAGGATATTAAAGCAATAATTTGGCAAGAAATCTCATTTGCATAGTCCAGTTCCAGCCCCACCCTGGGCCTGGGGTGCACATTAAAATACAATTTAGATATGATGTATGTGTTCATGTTAAATGACCTGTTTAGGAATTTGTATATATTTTACAAATAGCTGTTATTTGCAATTATTTTATTATTATTAATTTTACTATTTATTATTTATTCATTATTTATTTCATCTCTCTATGATGGCAGATCATTTTACTTATTTCAAGCATCATTTCCTATATTTCCCATATTTCAGATAATTAATATCAATCTTAATAGTAAGAGTAATAGTAATCTTAATAAAATTACATAAAAGAAGTACAAAATGTCAAGAATTAAGCTAAAGGGTCCATAACAGGGATATATATATCGTCGCTGTCCAATGAAAACCATCTCCATTTTTATTGATTTTTAGTTTTCTACATCATTTCAACACAACAGCTGTCCTTTACAATGTGTAAAACCAATAGAGATGCTCTAAAATCACTTGGAACAAAATCTCTTTACATTGACTTACATTGAAAGGTAAGAGTGTTTTTTCCTTCTCCTGTAAAGTTCATATTTTGGAGATACTTTTCTTTGGACAGCGACAATATATATATATATATTATCGCTGTTGTTGGAACAAAATCTCCAAAATGGTAACTTTACAGGAGAAGGAAAAACCCTACTCTACTTTTAATGTAAGTCAATGGAACCAGACTTTTGTAGTTATACAAAAGTAGTTCCCCCAAATCATTTTGGGCCGTTTCTTTTGGTCCATTCTTCATGAAATTTACACACAATGTAAAGGAAAAGAGGCAACTTATGTCAAAAACTGAAATATGGCAAAAATGGAGATACAAAGTTTTCTTCCGACAACAGCGATATATGTATAAGCTTCCCAGACAAAACAATTAGTCTTAAACACCTTGCGTGATTAAGGTGGTGTCTAATTTTTTGTCCAAGGAGCCTGTGAATAAAAATCACTTCACTTCTCAGGCAAGAACTGCTTCTAGAAGTCAATGCAGGTTCTTCACAACCAATTTCTGTAAGCGCACTCCACAAGGAAGCAGTCCCTGTCCATCAGTTTCATCTTTTGGCCACAATTCTGATGGGAATTTCCTGTAGGCTGGGATTTTGCCACTGCTGGTCGACCCGTATGACCGTACGCTTCGAAACACCTGCAACCTCAGCTACTTCCTTCACGCTGTGGCCTTTGGCACCCGAATGCAAATCACTCCTTTTTGCCAATCATTAACACCTGCTTTGCGACCCATTTTCCACACACTGACCGAGACATTTACCACACTGTACCACCTTTTCTCAATCTATGAATCCCATTACACACACCGCAGGTATTTATAGCCCAATCATCCTTGTGCAGCACCATCTGCAGGAGCCTGAAGTTACTACCACCTTAAACACACCAGGGAGCTAATCTATATATATATATATATATATATATATATATATATATATATATATATATATATATATATATATATAGATAGATAGATAGATAGATAGATAGATAGATAGATAGGGCAGCCAATCAGTGTATATATTAATATATATATATATATATATATATATATATATATATATTAAAGGCATAATGGTCATGGAAAATGGTCATATAAAATGATTTATGGGTGTTTTTTTTCGTACATAAAACCACAAAAATGTTATTAGTGGGAAAAAATAAAATACAAGAAAAATGTAGGATATTTGGCTCATACAGACACATATTAGACAAATCAACTAAATTTAAGACTTCTTAACTTGCCAGGATGTCATTTTTTGCAAACCCTTAAATAATTTAAAAATGTGTCTGATCCACTCGTACCAGCACAACACACACTAACACACCACCACCACGACGTCAGTGTTACTGCAGTGCTGAGAATGATCCACCACCCAAATAGAACCTGCTCTGTGAGGGTCCATGGGGGTCCTGACCACTGAAGAACAGGGTAAAAGGGGGCTAACAAAGTATGCAGAGAAACAGATGGACTACAGTCTGTAACTGTAGAACTACAAAGTGCACCTATATAGTAAGTGGAGCTGATAAAATGGACAATGAGTGTAGAAGCCTGATCGGTGTAAATGTTCCCTCAAAGCTCCAACAGTGGTTTTAAGGTCTGATTGTGAACCTTAAATAAGTTTTTCCAGGTGAAAAGTTCGTATTTGTACCTTTTCATAACCGAATGTTTTAAAACAGAACAGTAAAATAAAAGCCTGGAGACGAGACGGGGTGTGTGGAGTCAGTACAGCTTAGAACATATCATTTCAGTGGATTATGGTTCAGTTATGTTCCCTGACTAAAGGTACTGAGATGGACCCTTGAGGGTTCCACCCCAGTGACAAGAGGGGCACTGACCCAGTGACAGTTTAGTACCTTTATGTCTGAGACTGTACATGTTGGTGTGTCTGCCCTGTGATGGACCGGTGACCTGTCCAGGGTGTTTTCTGCCTTCTGCCCAATGAACGCTGGGATAGGCTCCAGCTCCCCCCGTGACCCAGGAGGATTAAAAAAATGAATGAATTTTTTTATATTCATCTTTTTAGACTCCAGCATCGTATGAGTCACTGAGTCTGTCACAGTCTTTAGCTCCACATGCTGAGTCCACTACGACAGAAGCTGTTTACAACCCAACACTTATGAATCATGCCTTCTGTTTCAGAGCGACACTGATGATGATGGTGGTGGTGATGAAGACAATTCATACAAAATCTCTCACTCTTCACTGGAAGCTTCGTACATTTTACTGAAAATAGCAACAGTTAATAGCAAAATCCCAGGTTTGTTCTCTTTAAAGAACCATATCCAACAGGTTCTCCATCATTTGGCCATGCAAAGAACCTATAAAGCCCACAACTGGTTGATCAGGTTGTTGTGGTTCTATAAGAACCATTAAGGAACCACTTTTATTAACAATGCAACTGCAAGTACATTGAGGCATTTAGATTTTGAGGCATTACATTAGTTCATTTAGCAGATGCTCTTATCTAGAACAACACTTTAGGAAAAAAACAAAAGGTTCTTTGCTCAATGCCATAGAGGAACCATTTAAGTTCTTTAAAGAACCGTGTTTGTAAATGAGATGTGAACCTTTTAAAAGTGTAAAAAAATATTTAACAAATTTAAGGGTTTCTACATTGTGTGGAGGATCTTTAGGGTTAAGAAAGGTTCTTCACATTCAGACATCTCATCTCTTTAGGGAACTGACATGGTTCTTCTGTGGCATCGCTCAACGAACCCCTGGTGGCACCTCTTTTCTTAAGAGGGTCCGCTGAATGAATAAATGTAAATGTACATCAACAAATGTGAATATATAAACATTAACTGAAGTACTATCTTTCGAAAGGTTCTTTAGGGAACCTAAAATGGTTCTTCTGTGGCATCGCTCAAAGAACCCCTTGTGGGAGTATTGCTCTAGATAAGGTCTGCTAAATTAACAAATGTAAATGTTCATTAAAGTAGCATGCATCAAAGTGTTCTTTAGGGAACCAAAAATGGTTCTTCTATGGCATCACTTTCATTTTTGAAAGTGAACTTCTAAAAGGTGCAGGTCCAGAGTGATAAAGGAGGCGGAGGGTCTGTAAAGATGTGAGAGAGCAGTAGTGACTGAGATAAGCGCGAGTTCCCACAGCAGCAGGAAGCTGAACTCACTCCGCTCAGAGCGAAGAGACTCCGCAGGATCTGCTCTCGTTTATCCGCCTGCATCTCAGCAGCGCTGAATAAAACCTCCTACAGTTCAGCTTCAGCTCAGACTGAACCTGGTCTGTGGTTCTAGAGTAAAACTGTGTTCTTTACCTTCATCGTCGCTGTGATCTGCTTCCATCTCTCATCTGCGGCTCCTGCGCTTCCCCTCCAGACATCAACCACACAGCAGCCTCAGACTCACTGCAGCTCGCCTGAACCCGCCGGAGACTGAGAGACACTTCACTCCATCAAAGTTCAGAGAGAGAGGGGGGGGAGAGAGAGAGGGGGGAGAGGAGAGAGAGAGGGTGAGAGGTAGGGAGAGGAGAGAGAGAGAGAGAAAGAAGGAGAGAGAGAGGAGAGAGAGACTTAGAGAGAGAAGAGAGATAAAGAGAGAGAGAGAGAGAGGGAGGGAGAGGAGAGAGAGACAGAGAGAGAGAGAAAAGACAGAGAAAGAAAGAGAGAGGGAGGAGAGAGAGGGAGGAGAGGGAGGGAGAGAGAGGGAGGAGAGGGAGGAAGAGAGAGGGAGGGAGAGGAGAGAGAGACAGAGAGAGAGAGAGAGAGAAAAGACAGAGAAAGAAAGAGAGAGGGAGGAGAGAGAGGGAAGAGAGGGAGGGAGAGAGAGGGAGGAGAGGGAGGAAGAGAGAGGGAGGAGAGAGACAGAGAGAGAGAGAGAGAGAGAGAGAGAAGAGGGAGAGAGAGAAAGCTGGAGAGAATAAGAGAGGGAGACAGAATGGGAGAGAATGAAAGACAGACAGAGAGAGAGAAGGTGGGGAAAGGAAGGGGGAGAGGACGAGAGAAGGAGAGAGAGAGAGAGAAGAGGGAAGGGGGAGAGACAAATGAGAAAGGGAAAAGGGGAGAGAGAGAGAGAGAGAGAGAGAGAGAGAGAGAGAGAGAGAGTCCTTAAATAACCTCAGAAAAATACTTTCTAAACTTTCCAAAATCCTTAAATAACCTCAATCCACAACTTCCTAAAATTCACTGAAGACACTTCTTACATTCTCAAACTTTTAATTAAAATAACGAAATGCAGTGAATCTTAATTAACAGCACGTTTTTGGTGTTTTGCTGTTTGAATACATTTTGTGCTCAAATGGATTAACAGTAAAATGCAATGTCCTTAACTGAACTCCTCCAAAACAGAACTGAACCAACCTCCTATAAACAATCTTACAATTCTTACAAAATCTAACAATTTTAAAAATGATCTAAACAACTTTTTAAAAATGGCTTAATAACATCTTACAAACTCACACAACTTAATACCGAAAAATCACTCAACATCAATAACGTCACTCAAAGGCTGCAGTTCCTCTCCGCACCACTAAGAGGCGCTCTGCTCTCACACACAGTCTCACTCAGCATTTTGATCCAAAACTTCTAGGAAAGTTCTGGAGAAACACCTGGAACTGAATCCTAAACATCAATCATTAAAACTCCTCAGTGAGATGATCCTCACAGGTTCTGCAGCACTCTCTCCACCCAGAACCGACAGAACCGTCTCTCAGACAGGCTGAGGGTCTCGTCCTCTCAGAGACCTGTATTTATTCAGTCTCATCACGCTTTCTAACTCAGATCAGATCTCAGCGTGGCTCCGTCCGCCTGCTGTGGCCACTCGTTTAGTTCCTTGAAGTTTGTCTCTTTTCCTTTTCCTGAATTAATTATCATACGCTTTATTTGCATGATTCAGTGACCCACATCATCACATCCAAGATATATGTTAGATATGTTCAAGGGCTCCTAATCCCACATCTATTTCTGCTACAATATCTTTCATACTGACACAGTCCATGTAAAGATCTGTAAAACCTTCAGGTCAGTTCATTTAATTTTACAGTTTGGAAAAGAAATTTGCTCTGTATTTTTTAAGTGCTGCAAATGGCATCTTATTACGCCCTTCTGAGTCTTGGTTCCTCTCAGTGTTTCTTCCTCTTTGCTCTTAGGGAGTTTTTCCTTGCCACTGTCTCCATTGGCGACGCTCATGGGGGCTCAGACCCAGATTTTTCTGTAAAGCTGCTATGTGACAACACCTGTTGTAAAAAAGGACTGGATTGGAGGAAATGGATTGACAGTAAAATGTGATGTCCTTAACTGAACTCCTCTAACACAGCACTGAAATAACCTCCTATAAACAATCCCATTCTGTAAAACAAAATGCAGGATTATGTTAATCCCATATTAATCAGATTATATTAATACCATTCTGTAAAACAAACTGTCTAAACAACCTCAGATTATATTAATCCCATTCTGTAAAATAAACTGTAGAAATATCCTCATATTATATTAATCCCATTCTGTAAAATAAACTGTAGAAATAATGCAGGATTATATTAATCCCATATTAATCAGATTATGTAAAACAAACTGTCTAAATAACCTCAGATTATATTAATCCCATTTTGTAAAACAAACTGTAGAAATAACCCAGGATTATATTAATCCCATATTAATCAGATTATATTAATCCCATTCTGTAAAATAAACTGTAGAAATAACCCAGGATTATATTAATCCCATATTAATCAGATTATATTAATCCCATTCTGTAAAATAAACTGTAGAAATAATGCAGGATTATATTAATCCCATATTAATCAGATTATATTAATACCATTCTGTTAAACAAACTGTCTAAACAACCTCAGATTATATTAATCCCATTCTGTAAAACTAACTGTACAAATAATGCAGGATTATATTGATCCCATATTAATCAGATTATATTAATACCATTCTGTTAAACAAACTGTCTAAACAACCTCAGATTATATTAATCCCATTCTGTAAAATAAACTGTAGAAATATCCTCATATTATATTAATCCCATTCTGTAAAATTAACTGTAGAAATATCCCCAGATCATATTAATCCAAGTCTGTAAAACAAACTGTCTAAATAACCTCAGATTATATTAATCCCATTCTGTAAAATAAACTGTAGAAATAACCCAGGATTAAATCAATCCCGTATTAATAAGGTTATATGAATCCAATTCTGTAAAACAAACTGTCTAAATAACCTCAGATTATATTAATCCCATTCTGTAAAACAAACTGTAGAAATATCCCCAGATTATATTAATCCCATTCTGTAAAACTAACTGTAGAAATAACTACAGGTTATATAATCCCATTCTGTAAAACAAACTGTAAAAATAATTTCAGATTATATTAAACTCATTCTGAAAAACAAACTATATAAATAATGTCAGGTTATATTAATCCACTGCTGTAAATCAAACTGTAGAAATAATCTCAGATTATATTAATCCCATTTTGTAAAACAAACTATATAAATAACATCAGGTTATATCAATCATGTGCTATTAAACGAACAGACGAAATAACCTCAGATTATATTCATCTTATTATGTAAAACAAACCTTAAAAATAACCTAAGATTATATTAATCCCATTCTGTAAAACAAACTGTATGAATAACCACAGATTATATTAATCCTGTGCTCTAAAACAAACTATGCATGGTGAAGTGTCTCTTCAGATTGATGGAGAATGTGTTTTAGATAGTTCTTTATACATCAGTTAGTTCCAGCCACACAAGCTGATTGGTTGAGAGGCGTTCTAACTGTGCTGTTATTTCACCATAACATCACGTTTTTTTCACAAACACTGAGTCACTCCGCTGAGACGCCGTTGCTAAGCAACGACTCTGACAGCTGTAGGAGACGCTCAATACATTTGAACGTTTTTATTTCTCACTTTGCCACAAACAGAAAATGGACACTTTTAAGATCACATTTGACCGACAGCCGATTTGGTCAGACTCTGAAGATGAGACGACACTAAATTCCCAAACTGTCATCACCACTGAGCAGCTTTTCAGTCGGCAGCTGAGACAGAAGAACAGCTGAACAACCTGGAATCAGCCAGAAATGAACCCAACACCATTCGCCAAACTAAATGGGCTGTAAGATGCTTTACAGACTGGCTGGAACAAAACAACATTAATACTGATCTGGCAAAAACTGACAAAACTGAGCTGAACTTGATATTGCGGCAGTTTTATGGCTCAGTCTGATTTGGTCAGACTCTGAAGATCAGACTACACGTTTGGCGAAGGGTATTGGGTTCATTTCTGGCTGATTCCAGGTTGTTTAGCTGTTCTTCTGTCTCAGCTGCCGACTGAAAAGCTGCTCAGTGGTGATGACAGTTTGGGAATTTAGTGTAAGGAGCTGGAGAACGAACTGCAGCGAGTGGGCGGAGCTCGTTACTCTGACGTAGCAACGAGCTGCTCGTTAAGGAACTATAATTTGGTGAAGGAACTGCGAACATTAAAACATATTAAACGCCGCGTTCACGGCCCAGTTTATTAATTTATTACTGTATTTATTTAACTGTTCTATAAAAGCAATAGAACACTCGAGGAGTGTGTTATCACAATAACATCATGGCCGTGATGATCTACGGCGACCAAATCACAGCCGTGATGTTATTTCACGATAACACACTCCCTCTGTGTTCTACTGCTTAAATATACAGTAGATTTTGAAAAGGGTTCTATGTAGCAGCAAAAAGGGCTCTTCTATTGTTGAGATGTCAAGCTTGTAACAACAATAGAAGAACCTTTTTGGTGTTATATAGAACCGTTTTCATAAAGCCTCAACATTGAGCCATCAGCACATTCTCCATCAATCTGAAGATCCCTTATATCATGCAAAGGGTTCTTTGAGTGTTCATGGATCCCTATAGAACCGTTTACTTCACTAAAGAATCCTTGAAGCAGAATCCAAGAATATGTACTTTTGAATACTTAAGTACTTTTAAAAACAAGTACTCCAGTACCTTAATCTAAGTACAAATTTGACTTTCACTTGTATTGGAGTAATACTTGACCAGGAGTGTCTATACAATCTTAAAAATGATGGTTCTTCAAGGTTCAGCAGCTACTGTTAAGTCAGTTCTCTAGAACTTGCCTGTTCATGGCCTCAAAAACATCTTCTGTAAGTGAAAAAACAAAGTAGAGACTTAATTTTTCATGTTAGATTCAGTATTTTTGAAATGTTAATCTTGTGATGTCCAGATGAAGACTGTGGTGGTCCCAGGTGGTGCGGTGATGTTTAGAATGAAGACAAATGGAATATAGAATTAGGTGTGAGTAGGTTTTTCATTGCTCTGGATGGAGAGCCTTCATGTGGAAAAATTACAAGAGATTGATCCTCAAGTGTCTAATGGCTTGGGGATGGTGCATCAGCCATAAA